TTGTCGCTGCAGTGCGCTCACAGCACACTGAAGCTAACGAGTCATCAGATGAGTTCATACTGGCTCGTGAAACGGTAGTCCGTTTTGTGCAAGACTCCATCGCCGAAGCGGTGGATAAGCAAAAGCAAAACGCTGACAAGAATGGAAGGGCAAACACTCTTTTATTTAATAAGGGTGACTTAGTCCTACTGTCTACGGTTAATCTACCAAAACATGTAGTGACTAACTTGGGTAGCAGTAAACTACTACCCAAGTACATTGGCCCATTTCGTGTATTGCACCGCCTAGGCAATGCATACACGATCGAGTTACCACGTAAGATGCGAACGCATCCCACGTTTTACGTTGGTCGGCTTAAGCCGTACCATCAGTACGCTGCTTCTTCCGATGAAGAACGCCCTTGCGCTCAAGCATCTCGCAGAGAGCCTTGTGCTCCCGATGGTGGGCATCAACAAGGGTCTGAAGAGCAGTTATCTCAGCCCGAGACCGATCAACAATCCCACGAGCTACCCTTAGCTCGTCACGAAGAGATGTCAGAGATCTCTCGTTCTCAAGCTGAGCAAAGGCAAACTCAGCTCGATGCTTCGAGGCAGTGTCCACCATCTGGAGACGCCTATTCCGCTCATGCTCGAGATCGTCGCGTAACCCTTGCGTTACGCGATCAAAGAAGCTCTCGGGAACACACCGATCCACATGATCGTGTGGAGAGCGTCTTTCCTCCTCCTCCACCTCCATTAGAGGACTCTCGCGGTGGCCAGCGCTATCTAGTAGAGCAGCTGTTGAACCACCGCGACGTGAACGGACGTCGGACGAGTTACCTCGTCCGGTGGCGCGGCTATCCCCCGTCCTGGGATTCTTGGGAGCCCCGCTCCCAATTGATGGTTGACGTACTGGGTCTGGTCGAGCAGTACGACACGACACATCCTGTGCCGCAGAAGGACCGCCGGAGAAAGTCTTCCCGGCACGGTCGTAAAGGGATTTCAGGTTGTCAATCCCTTCGTACATCTCAGTAGAGACACGTACGCGCCACCACGGGCTGGTAAGGAGGTAAGCCTCCTTAGGTGCTCGTGCAGAGTTGTTCACACAACATGGGCACGAGTCTCCCCAAGAGAGGCAGGGTAATCCTTTCTCCCTTGACAGACGATGCAGCTTATAGCGTGCACCTGTCGGGGTTCGCTTTTCAAACTTATCACGAGCTTTGATAAGTTTGTCGTTCCAAGCGTCACGACCTACATCCTCGAGATTATGGATGTAGGCGTTCCACGCCTGAAGTAGTGAGGGACCATCACGTTTGTGATTCCCACTGTACCATCGATGTCTGAAGAAAGCATCGATGAAGAACTCATGTTCAGCGCGATAGTCTTTCGCGCTGGGGTCAAGGTGATGAATCCTCGACGAATCGAACAATCGTGTTCGATAACGATCACTCGTCGTCGCCGACAAGTGATCCATGACAGATTTAGGAGGCATCCATGCCTTCTTTTCTGGAGCGAGACGCAACACATTGCGGTCCCGCTCTTCCTGCGACGTGCCGACAGAAGTACTGGCACCTCGCTGTGAAGTGGTGTCCATTGGAGAAACGACACCACTATTAGCGCCCGAGTCTCGCGACCTCGAGCGCCTTCGCTTCGGCGATGGTTCATCTGACTCATCAGATGAACCAAAGATGCTGCGACGCAAAGCATCGTCCATGCCACGCTTGGCAGGCGGCTTGGATTCAATTGCCGTCGATACGGATCCGTCATCCGTATCAGGAGAGTACGAGACACCGAGCTCGTACTCTGTGAAGACACGAGTGTCTTCATGACCAGCGCCTGCATCACCAGGTGATACAGGCTGAGTCGATTCAGCAACCGATGGGACATCAGTTGCTGTAGTTTCTGCTTCGGCGTCCGCACAGAGACGTGCAGACGCGCTCTCGGCGGCCTTGCTCGCGCATCGCATGGGCTTGTTTACCATGCGATGAGATGTTGGAAAGTGGGCGCGGACCAACAAGTGCAAACCCCGTCCCAAATGATTTGGGACGAGTATCCATTTAGTCAATCAGTCACTAAAGTGACTGATGGTTAAGGGGGGGGTGATGTAACGGGGTGAATCGTTACATAACAATTTATAAGAAATTGTTAATAGAATATAACTATAAGAGTTATATTCTCAGAATATTGTCATAAGGACAATATTCTGTAGCACTTCCAAGTAGTTCCTAATTGGTTGATATAGGCCATTATATCAACCAACGAAGACGCGCCACGACAGACGCACGCAATGAGTGGTGAGCAGATAACTGATTTACACATTTGTATTTAGACATAGTTAGATGAAGATAAATAGTGATTTATTAACAGACATTAACTATGATAAATACAGTTCTACTTTTTACTCTAACCAAGTACTCGCTTCTTCTTACCGTCTTCCTCTGCACGTACGAGTGTACGTGAAGTTACGAGGCACCGCCTTATTCTGTTATCAGAATAAGTAGCTTGTACTGTCACCAGTACAAGCTTCAGGGTGCCCCGTTACAGGCTGGACGACGAAGGTGGCGGCCGCAACGACGTAAACTGAAACAGATTATCACCCGGCGGCGCCGTGCTGTAGGGACTAGACTTCTTGATGAACGTGTGGCAACGACGGACTTTCACGTGATCTCGGAAGGTACAACATTGATTACTTGGAGGGACATTCGACGAATACGAGCGTCCTTTCCGACAAACGCTCAGACGCTGTATAGGCTAAAGAGTAACAGTTTTCCGCTCTGGAATTGGGCGAAGCAAGATCTGTCTTGCCCGCTCCCTGAGTGTGCGAATGCTGGTCCAGCTCTGGCAAGCCATATCTTTTGGACATGCTCTAGTGCGCGTCGTCACTGGGAGTTTCTCCTTGATCGGTGGCGATGGCTTGGAACTTTCCAGGAGGCTGAATTGAATGTTTGGGTGTTTGGCCTGGACCTCCCGGCGATTCCACCCTACGCCTGGGATGTAATTAAGCAATCCATGGACCCAGGCACTAATTTATCAAAAGCTCAGGCTGCTATATTTCCGGCAGCTAGAGAGCTGTGGCGTTTTGTCGTATCAACGACCCTTCATGCAATCTGGGTCGAGCGCCTCCGCCGCATAGAAGACTCGTCGTTATCACAGGAGGTGCACATAGCCAGCGCCAAGACGAGCTTTCGTCGGTCGGTCAGACGGTTTCGGCGATCAACCTATCAGCCCGAGATGGGGGAAGATGGGCAACTGTTTGCGCAGGTACGGTCGGCCTTGGCTGATACCCTACTCTGCTACGGTGAACCTCCTTCGTTACTAGTCCGGCCTATCGACCGGCTCCCTGGCGAGCTTTACCTCCTCTTCTTTGACGGCGGGTCCCGCGGAAATCCAGGTCCAGGTGGAGCCGGGTCTGTGATTGTACGACTACACGTTCCGACTCACGCCGCATGCGTTCTGTGGGTATCAAGTATGGCTTATGCATCTGCCGATACCACTAACAATGTCGCTGAATATTGGGGGGCTCGTGCATGGTCTTCGGCAAGCAAAGACAGGCGACTACTCACCCCTGCACGTCATTGGGGACAGTGCGCTTGTACTTTCTCAACTCCGAACACAACACCCTCCACGCAAGCCGCACTTGGTGCGTTTATTCAACGAAGCACGTGCCATCGCTAACGATATTGATGTCGCCAGCTGGGGACATCAATACCGCACCTTCAACAAAATGGCGGATCGACTGGCAAATATCGCTATGGACACGGGATCTTCTATACAAACGCACGCTATCTCGAACCCAGGTCTGGTCCAGGAGGCTTCAAACTTCCTTGACACTGATGTCAATCATTGGTTGGAGACCTCTCAAGCCGACCATCAACTCGTCATACAGGGCCCCGGGCTGACCTCAAGGAACCTGATTATCTCGAGACAGGAGTCTGCGCGTAGGCGCTCTGCTGTGCGAGGACTAGCGCTACCTAGTATATAAAGTAGCGGTCGATTAGGTAACTTTGTTGCCGGATGACAGGATATAGCAGGTCGTACGCGTACCTAAATATACCTCACCTTCTCACTCACTCCAACGCGGTCCATGACCGCAGTGCTGGCGGTGGCAAGGTCACTGTGACAACGTATCACAACAATGGGTTGTGGCATCGCATCAAGCGGTGGTGGAAGAGGTTGAGTGGGCGCGAGGAACCTCGTGGTTCTGCAAAAGGACGTGACATGGAAAGTCGCAGTTGAGCCGAAGAAACGTGTTCTATCTCGGACAAAGAAGAAGGAGGTGGGACACGGACGTGGAAGGTGTGAAATTAGGAAGAGCACATTCAGAAGCAGTGGCAACGCGCTCTGGAGCGTGAAACCCAAAGACTGCGAAGGCGGAGGGGACGGGAGACGAGTGATGGAGCTCAAGATTGGCCTGGAACTTGAGAGTAAGGAAGGGCGAGGTATGGCTGGATTACGATGTCCGTGTCAGTACATTCATGTTCAACATCATTTTTCGTAAGGTTCTGATCGAATCGGGGTGTCATCATTTGGTTGGCGTGCCTGCCTAGCTCTCATAGCGCGTTATCGTAATGCCTTCACATTTCATTGAAACACAGAGCGTGAGCTGAGCGTTTCGGGATACAACGAGCCAGACAATGTTCGTAAGCCCAGTAATTGTCAGCGACTCGGTGACGTCCAGTGCGTTAGGAAAGCTGGTCTGTGATTGAAAACAAACTGCTGCAAACCTGAGTCCTGAAGAGGCTCCATGCGATTGACGAACTGTGGCAAAAGTCGAGACACCAGCCATTCAAGAAGGTCTTTTGACCAGAACGGACCAACACATGTGTAGCTCTGTGTCCAACCGAATCATTCACGTGGACTAGTTGTTGACTTTGTAAATGGTGATGGACAGATAAACAGCTTCGTTCGTGGATCTCAGCCGTCATGTCTCTCCATCATCTCCACTCATGTCGATCTTTATCTAATTGCTGAGTAAATGCCATCCCTGTAGCTGGGAATGGTAACATACTAAGTCACCTGGACATGTTGCCACTCGTTTCCAAGCCCATCAAAGTCACTCCAGCCGTGTCTTGTTGTTACGTGTTCGCCATGGACTACGACCAGCTTTTTCAAGCTCTTGAGATCATCACCGCCGACGGGCTGCATTGCAATGATTTGCTCGGATACGTGACTGGCTACGGGCGGCGGCCCATCAGCTTCCTCCCTAGGTCTCCAAGCATGACAAAAAGTGAGCTGTGCTAGTCGTACGCCATAGCCACCTAGCAACGCGAGAACATCAAGGCGCAGAAACGGTGGTCCGAGGGGCTTAGTTACATGCCTCAATTTTACTTTTTACACACTAGAGCGTAGTGACGGACACTACATCTTGCAAGGCGCCACAATCGTTGGCGCGTCCAGCGTTGCATTCCTGGCATCGACGTTTCTTCGGCTCAACTGCGACTTTCCATGTCACGTCCTTTTGCAGAACCACGAGGTTCCTCGCGCCCACTCAACCTCTTCCACCACCGCTTGATGCGATGCCACAACCCATTGTTGTGATACGTTGTCACAGTGACCTTGCCACCGCCAGCACTGCGGTCATGGACCGCGTTGGAAGACACGATGGCGCCAAGTGGGACTTGACTTTTACGCCCAGGAGTCGTTACAGCAGCGGCATTCACGTCGATGGGCATCAACTGCCGACCGGTTGCCTCCGTGATAGACGCGCGACTGACAAAAAGACCCGCGACGACAACAGTGACGAGCACCAGCGGACGTACTAGACGCATCTGGATACGTTTCTAGCTACAAGACAGTCGATCAGATTGAGAAATGGCTACCGAGCTGACAAATAATAACCCACTGATCCTTCAAGGTCCGTCCATTAGAGCCAGGAACCAAATTTTGGATCTATCTAAACACCTGAAAGGGTGAAGTAATCATCATCATCATCATCATCGAGTCGGGCATGCGTTTTCATTCCGTATGTTTCTTTTTCATCCAATCAGATGCATCGATAATTGACTGGCTGTCGTTCGCCGCGTGAATTGAGCTCCTCGTATCCTGAACGTGTCCCGCGCATCTCTCTTGTTATCACTTTAAATCCTCTGTCATGGCGGACACGAACATCTACATGCGCGCGGAGCTCGACGGCCACAATGGCAAAGCCGTGACGGCCATTGCCACGACGCGGGAAAACCCAAATTTGCTTTTGACGGCGTCACGTGACAAGTCGCTGCTGGTGTGGCAGCTGTCGAACGATGGCGAGGAGTACGGCTTTGCCCGTCGTCGCCTGCAAGGCCACTCGCACTATGTAGAAGACGTGGTGATCTCGTCGGACGGCCAGTTCGCTCTCTCGGGCTCGTGGGACGGCACGCTGCGTCTCTGGGACCTGAACTCGGGCATCACGACGCGTCGGTTTGTTGGCCACACGAAGGACGTGCTGTCGGTCGCTTTTAGCGCAGACAACCGCCAAATTGTCTCGGGATCGCGGGACAAGACGGTCAAGCTCTGGAACACGCTGGGGGAGTGCAAGTACACGATCACGGAGGATGGCCACACGGAGTGGGTCTCGTGCGTCCGCTTCAGCCCGTCGACGGCCAACCCGCTCATTGTCTCGTGTGGATGGGACAAGGTGGTCAAGATCTGGAACTTGTCGAACTGCAAGCTCCGGACCAACTTGTTTGGCCACAGCGGCTACCTGAACACTGTCACCGTGTCTCCGGACGGCTCCATCTGTGCTTCAGGTGGCAAGGACGGCACGGCGAACCTCTGGGACTTGAACGAAGGCAAGCGTCTCTACTCGCTCGTCGCTGGAGACGTGATCCACGCTCTTGTGTTCTCGCCCAACCGCTACTGGTTGTGTGCGGCGACAACGTCTGGCATCAAGATCTGGGACCTCGAGACGAAGAATGTCGTGCACGACTTGCAGCCGGACATTGAGGAGCCCAAGGGCAAGTACGCCCAGCCGCCGCACTGTATCTCGCTGGCTTGGTCAGCAGATGGATCGGTGCTTTTCTCGGGCTACACGGACGGTATGGTCCGTGTGTGGGCTGTGGGGAACTAGGCGTTTGAAACGGATACTTTCAGTCGATCGAGTCAGACGGGAGGTAGTGAGAATTTAAAGAGGAAGCGTGGCGTGTAGAATAAATTAATTCAACATAGCAGCTTTCTAAAGACATGTCTCACTCACTTGAACTTGTGCGTATGTAGCTCTTGCAGTCGAGTGTGACGTGGAGTTATTTGAGTCAGTATCTGGCTGTCAAGAGGGCATTGAATAGAGTGTACCATGCTCTTTCATAAAACCTATTCCGACACAGACGATAGTAATAATCCACTGAGACAACAAGCAAGAGACAACTGAAGTGCAGACAAGAGCAAGATGGAGAGAGGGTCGACGCGTCGACGCTATTGTGTATTACGTCCTTCACTTCAAACAGCAAGAATCTGCGCTCTTCATCCCAGCTCCTAGACAGCAACAGACTCGTTGCTAGTACCGCCTACCGCCTTCAGCAGCAGTGTCTTCAGTGACGACAGGAAGCTCCACCAGCATCGAAGGCTCTATCAGTCCAAAGCAACTATTTGAGCTTCTTCTTGATACGCAGCTGGTTGCTGTGACCGCATTTCTTCTTGCGGCAGTTGGTCGCACGAGGCGGCAGACGCGCATAACAGATACGGCAAATCTGCTTCTCGCAGTTCGTCTTCTTGGCCAGAGCAGCAAGCGTGGGCTCAATAGCACCACCACGGAGACGCAGGACCAGATGAAGCGTCGACTCTAACGTGTATCATCAGAATAAGCACACAAACAGGATAAGCAACACCATAGTCGCACGTCAGCAGATTGAGCCGACAAGTCCGAGGTTTTTCAAACGTAACCCAGGACGTACCCTTTTGGATGTTGTAATCCGAAAGCGTGCGACCGTCTTCCAGTTGCTTGCCGGCAAAGATCAGACGCTGCTGGTCAGGCGGAATGCCTTCCTTATCCTGAATCTTCTGCTTCACATTGTCAATGCTGTCCGACGGCTCCACGTCCAGCGTGATCGTCTTGCCTGTCAATGTCTTCACAAAGATCTGCATGGTTCCTGTACAACCAGCATCCATGAAAACCCGGTTAGCTATCCATCAATCCGCGGTTTCCTTATCCTGCATTGTCCACCCGTCACTCAATGCTGCTCCGCGTCAGTTCTTATTCAGCTTTCTCAGTATTGCAACGCTGCATGTTCGTGTTACGCTGACTCTGTGCTGCTACACTGAACGAGAGCGCCAAAGGGAACACCAACACATGACCTGCTTCTCTTCCAACTACCACCAAGAGGAAGAGATCGAAGCACGACAGACGACGGATGGATGATACATAAAGGGCTACATGAACAGCGTGACCGCACCTTTTTCCTCTCTCGAAATGACTGTGGACAGGAGGAGTCGCAATGGTTTCTGACCAACCAAGTGAGGACATACAAACGTTCAGTCAAGTGGGCGCTGAACGATCGGCCAGTCACGAAACGCAGAAAAAAAACGGTATTCAGCCAGTATCGGGATTCAACGGTTCGCGGTTCACTGAACCGGACAGAAACGGTGAGGTGGGTGATAGGGAGCTCTATCCGACCGTTGACAAACAGGAAGATAAATAGAGAGCGAATGGCTGGCCGACTCACGGGCTCCTTACCGGCAATGTCGATAGTAAAAGAAGGTTCGGACGGTGTGCTATATTAAAGTAGACAAATGATGGCCGAAACATGCGGACAAACGGGACACTTGAAACAGGACAACGTCTCTCTCGTGACTCTGTCCGAACTAAGTTTCCTTCAGACACCTTCTCTTGGGACGATCCCTGCTACGTGCTATTTTGAGATAGTGGATGCCGAGGCGGTTGTCAAATCGAACGGTTTGAATTCTTGAAGAGCTCCCAATTATTAGACCGCGCCGTTCGTGACAAAGCTACTGCAATAATTCTTCGCTTGTTGTTGTTGTTGTGATTCCCGATGGATTAGCTTTGCACAGATCTGCGTGCCATTACGAATCTGATGTGCGGGAATCACTTGCTGCTTAAACGACGTTGAAACTGCACTTGATGGCATGCATGAACGGTCATAGTGCACACTCGCTGCATCTCGGTCACGACTTCCTCTTCTTACTTGCTGCTGCGTTTTACAACACGACATGCAAGTTGAAAGGTGCAAAGACTTTGACATCCTCCACGAAGCCTGCTAACATGGGAAGACGAATCGGAAATCGATACTCATTTGCACGCCTAACGATCTCGAATCCTCGCTGAGTTCGGTTGACATCGACACCCAGCAATTACAAAGTGAGGGAGAGCCCGAAAACATGAATGTGTATGTCTTTGCAAGCAATAATGGTACACAGGATGCCTCAGTGGTTCCTAAAATGTATCATTGTACATTTGCCAGCTACTCTGCCACTCGATGCCCCACGCACAGTGTAACCAACTGCGTATCAAATGTGATGTCTATTTCCGATCATTTTGCGTCCCAAAAAAACCGATTGCATCAACTACTTGTATCATCAGTCAGTACCTTTCAGACAATTGTTCAATCGAAACACGCATCGTACAGATCGCCCAATCCTGACGGTACCACTTGTCTGGTACCGTCCCGCTCATCCGCTCGTCTCCTCCATCCAGCAGCTCACTGGAGGAAAACACTGCATACATAATGACGTATTACCGGTTCGGCCAGCGACTCAAGATGACGCGTGCAGTGGCCCGAGCGATGGCGCGATCATCTGCCGGCAAACGCAATCCGGATGCCATTGAAAAGCTGATACAGAACAATAAAAGTCGTTTTGGCCGTGCAGTACGTTGAGCTGGAGCGTTCTAGTAAAGTAGTCGATCGATCTGCAGGTTTTTTGTTCCATCACTGCTGACTGTAACTTCTGGGTCGATTGGTTTCTTTGGTATTTTTTTCTTCAGGTAGTTCGACCTCTTGGAGCTGCAGTTGCCACATTCATGGACTCGGGAGTGGCGTTCAACACATCGTCCGAGTTCTTGTACTTTGACAGCGATGACGACGATGGAACGTAAGATTTGATAGAAGCGCTGTAAGAATTGAAGCTTGATGCACCACGTAGGACTTGAAAAGCTTCGATATCGATGCAATGCGTCGTCGTATGTAGTGGCTGGTGAAAGAGAGAGAGAGAAGTTGTGTGGAGCATCAAGGCTTTCGTGCTTTGGTTTTGAAGAGTTTTCCGCCGATCTGACGACTGAGCAGTTAATTGTCGCTGTGTTTCCTTGCCAATAGATAACAGGGTCGATCGAGTGGATCATACGGGACGCAAGCGATCGGTTGAATGTGCGCGCGAGACATCACACACTGGACGGAACGAAGGGATCCGGATACACGAAGCACTGCGCGTATTGGAAAAAAAGCCGTGCCGACTGTTAAAGCAGGACAAATGAAGATACAAAGCCAGAGTCTTCTGTGTAATTTGCAGGTTCCGTCGACTCAAATGTCGCGAGCATTCAAGTGCTATCGATCACTTCGAATCACCCGACATTGCGCTTACTTTTTGCTCTTCTTTCATCTCAGCGTGCATTTTACTGTCACATACATGACAGTCAACTGCGTACATAACGATTGATTATCGATAGAGATATCCAAATTAATAGTTACGAGGGACCGAAGACTGAGAAAGCTGCAAACGTGAATATTTATTTGTGAAAGGGCAGGGAGTGCATTCTTACGTTGCCAGTTCTCATTCTTACGTTGCCCGTTCTCATTTTTCTGTTGCTTGGGCGTAAAATCAGAGAAAAAAGCGTGATTTTCTTCGTCAACAGCGTCCAAAGAGCGGATAAAAACCTGGATATTAACCGTCCGAGTCAATCACGTCACACACGCACACACAGCCAACCGTAACGTCATGGTGGACACGATCGAGTTGCGCGTGAGCGAGAACTTCCCGCGGATTCCGAAGCTCTGCGAGAAAGTGGCGACCACTTTCTTCGCGTGTTTCTACGAGCACGGGAAGCAGCCGGAAGGAAAGTCGGACACAGAAGTGGGCAACGTCGCGCTGGAACGATGCAAAGACGCGTTGCTGGCCTACAACAGCTGCGTGGACGTCGAGGTGGCCAAGAATCCGAAAGAGTTTTTCCGTGTGCCAGAAGCCTATCGCATGCGCGAGTAAAGCGCTTGTTTTCGTGTCATCAGTAAAGAATCGGCATTTTATCCATCTTTTATCCATCGATCCGTACCAGGCCAACTCGTTTCTCGTGATAACACAAATCAGTACAGACAATGTCAACAACCACCCAACCACCCACCCAACTTCACCATGTGACAAAAGCTTCATTACTTCCCACATCCGCTATGGAACATCAGAGCTAACCGGCCAAAGAAAGACCCCGTCGCACCAGCAAAAAGCCCAAAGACTCCCTACCTCCTTCTTCCCAGCCACTCGCTTCCTCTCTCTTGGCCCCACTCCAATGCTATTTCCATCTCTTCCTACTGCGTGTCCTTCTCCCACTCGAGATTGGCAATCTCGTCGTCAATCTCTTCTTCGACTTCCGGGTACATGGCCGTAACCTCGTCCATCGACGTCGCCAACGTCGTGCGCGTCTCTTCCATCAGTCCAATGAGTTCCTTGAGCTCTTCAACGCGCGCTTTCGAGTCCGCCACCTTTTCGTTCAGCTGCGAAAACTGTACCCAAAAACAGCAACAATACCACCACCACCACCAAAAAAACACCCACATCAATAACTCATCATCAATACCCACGTCCTCCCCATCTTCCAGCTTCTTTCACCACGTACGAGTTGGTCCACCGTCTCCTGCTCGTTCAGACGGAGCTCTTCCGGCAGCTCAGACGACTTGGCAGCCACGTCCAGCTCTTCCGGCGTGATCGTGGGGAACGCAATGGTCTTGTAATTGCTCTCCATGGCGTCCACGAGCTCCTTGTTCTTGATCACCGAGCGGTAGTAGTCAAAGTCAATGGCTTCCGGCTCTTTCAGGTACACGCGAGCTTCAGCTGCGATCTGGCCGTGGACGTCCCGGAGACTATCGAGAGCCGCGCGCGCACGCGGGTCCGACAGTTTCTGCGACATGGTCGACCACTCAATTGCGCGGGTCTGGAGGACCCCACGACGCACGACTTGGGCACGAAACGGAAGCATCTTGGCACTGGACCGGGTTCAAATCACGTCTGACGTCCGGCGAGCTGTTCGGTCGGTCGTCTCTTTTTTTGAAAGTGATCACGTTATGAGGGGCGGAGAGCGAGCGACTCTGAAAACACATACCCTGCCAACTTCGTTTCACTAGCACGCGCTCGTCAGCTCCCCGATTTCTAATGTTAGAAATTGTGTGGCACGTTAGATAGAAACGAATGAACACACCAGCAGCAGTAGCAGTAGTCGTTGTAATACCGGTTTTACCCGAAAAGGTCCAAGCGCTCTAATTCCGATAGAATGAGTGGGTTCCCGATGGAGACGGGCTGGCAGAAGATGGGACGGCGCTGCCGAGAAGAACCGCTCGTGCCCGTGGGTTGTCTGGCTACTGCAGGAGTGTTGATCGGTGGCCTGGCGTCGTTCCGCCGCGCGGCCGACGCGGCCACGCAGCAAAAGTTCATGCGCCTGCGGGTTGCGGCTCAAGGCGCGACTGTGATTGCGATGGCCCTTGGCGGGTTCATTGCTATTAAGCCAAAGAGGAGCGACCCGGTTGAGCACGATGAGCAGTAGACGACACAAGAAGACGACGGGTACGTGGAGGTGCTGCTTGGTGGCCTGGGAAGAAGAAGCATCGATGCAAACGAGAAGAGAAGAGCAGCTGGTGGACTGGTCATTAGTGGGGGAGATGTCGAGCCATTACTTACTTGCTGGGTGGATGTGTGGGTTTTTTGTCTGACCTTGAGCTTGGATTTTATGGGGGGGGTTAAGCTAAGAAGAACATGAAGAAGATGAGGAAGATTAATAAGATGGCCGAGACCTTGAGCGCCAGCAGGCGATTGTTCGACAGACTGGAAAAGTACTTGAGCAGCTCGTGCTCGCCACTGCTTACGGTCATTAGGGACTCTTCCACATTGTCGTCGATCCTGCAGACAACAAAGACACACACACACACATACGAGTCTCTCAGCCGTAACGCTCTTGCAATACTTGACAACGCAAACACGTTGGAACGCACCTCCGGACGAGGTCGCCCTGCTCATGGATCAATGTCGTCAGTCGGCCAAAGAGCTGTCCAATATCGACAATGTGACTTTCAATCAGAGACACAGCTTCTGCTCGCGACTCGGTGTAATTCTGCTGCTCGGCCACGATCTGTTCTTGTGTCAGGGTGGAAATAAGAGGCTGAATCTCCATACTCGAATCAGTCGTCGACCCCATATTTGCACGCAAGCCTGGACGTGGCAACGTGCTCGACAAATTGACGTCTGGCAGTCGACCACTGGATTGGCTCGTACTGTGGCTTCTCACCGGCAGTGAAGACTGAAAAGCCAGTGGTTTACCCAATGCACTGGACGCGGTCTTCCCATATCGCGCCCGTCGACTCTGCTGCAGCTTCATGTTCTCCTGCCGCACCTCCAAAATGTCCTTGAACCCTCTTGTTGTAGCCATGAGGTCGGCCTTCATAAGCGACACAATAGCGTCCGAGTGTTTCGCCGCTTGCCTCGATGGCGCCATCTGTCGCTTGCTGTTGATGTACTCGTGCAGATTGTCCAGCTGCATATTGATGGCCGTAATGTCCTTCTTCACTAGAGCTGCCAGCTCATTAATAGCGTCGCTCGGGTCGTTAAACATATTGTTCTGGCGGACAACTGACAAGGTGAAAAGTAGCATTAGCACCCACCTTACCCCACCCGACCAAGTCGAGGCGGATACGGTCAACGAGTCACTGAAGTAACACGTACGTTGTGTCAGCTGCTGCAACCGTTTCGAAGCTTGGTGCACTTCTTTCGAAACGTCCGACGCAGCGGCATTGAACTGCTGGGTCTCGTGAAGTGGCGTTTGTACCGCGGGTCTCTAGAGGAGTGACAAAGGCACAAAAGAACTGCATGAGCTACATGACTAGACGCACTGATAGACAAGAACGTTATGCAGACGCCACTCGGTAGAGAGATAGAGGACGTACATGGACAGCAGGAGGGCCTTGTAGAGACGCGTAGTGCTCGCACAGGTGCGTGAAGTCGCTCGTGCGGTTCGCTGCCATGGTCTCAGTTCGCCTCTTGACGCGTTCTTTGACCGAACAGGCAGTCGATGTGTTAGCGTTACTTCAGTAGTCAGTCGTTATTCGACTGAGGGAGCGAGTGGCACTGGAACTTGCGTGACCAGCTGGTTTTTGGTTTCAGCATTAAACCACACAGCTGTGACGGTTAGTAACGTTGTTTTACGTCACTACTACTAGCTTTACCTTCGGGCGCGCAATAAAAAAGCATATAAACACACTTGTTTTTACGAACGATTTAGCACCTTGTACCACTTTCTGCATGTTACATGTGGGATGCGTTTGACTTGTGTGTGTGGGATACATTTGACTGAAGCATACATAGCGACTGTACACGACTCCTGGTTTTGGTTTCGACGTTGGTTTGTGTGTGATACAACTAACTTCTTGTCGCATGTGTACCTCTGTTGTTTTCCTTGAGCACGCGCTTGAACGTAATGAAAAGGTCGAGATTCGGATGATCTAAAACTTTGGGGTCTTGTTCGTTGATCACCAACAGATTCTTGATGCCTTTGACTGTCTTGCCTTGTTTTACCCAGACCTTGGCCATCAACTCCTTGAGATGCGGATACTTCACCGTCAGCTCCGCCAGTCTGCCAATCGGTATGGTATCCAGAGTCTCCGCATATGTAGCGGCGTTCGAGACATCATTGTGCCGAAGAAAGTTGTACGACAACTCAATCCAACGGTGCAGCTCCGGGTTTTCAACAATATTCCCGCCTGGACCGTCGACCCAAACAAACGCATTTATATTTCCCAGAGGTTTCTGACGATTCAGCACTTGCTCGAATGTGCGGAAAAGGTCGAGATTCAGATGGTCCTCGAGTTTGGGGTCTCGTTCGTCAATCCCCAACAGTTTCTTGATGTCGGTGACAGTCTTGCCTTTTGTAAACCAGCACTTAGCCATCAACTCCTTGAAATGCGGATACTTCATCGTCAGCTCGGCCAGTCTTTTAATTGGTATACGATCCAGAGTCTCCGGGATAAAAGCGGAGTCCAGAAAATCACTGTGCTTAGACATCTTGAACGAGGCGTCAATCCAAAGGGCCAGGTTCACGTTGTCAGCAATATCCACGTCTGGAGTGTCGAGCCGAATCAACGCATTCACTTTCTTCAGATTTCCGTCCCCGATTCTCATTGACGGCGTTGTCCGAAAATTCTGAGCATTCAGCACGCGCTTGAACGCAATGAACAGGTCGAGATTCGGATGTTCTAAAGCTTTGGGGTCTTGGTCGTTGATCCCCAAACGTTTCTTGATGCCTTCAACTGTCTTGCCTTCGCTAACCCAGACCTTGGCCATCAACTCCTTGAGACGCGGATGTTTCTGCATCATCTCCGCTAGTCTATCAACCGGTATAAGCTCCAGAATCGCCAAGAGCTTGGTGGTGTCCACGAAATCTTCATTCTGATACTTTTTGTACGAGGCTTCAATGAGATCGCCCAGTTGCTTGTTACCGAGCTTGGGTGCGTTCGGATCATCGAGCCCCACAAGCACTTTGAGCCTAGCCGGTTCTTCCTCGTTATGCCAAGTCGAAGGCATGAAAGACAGACTATTCATGACTTTTTTTCCTAAGCTCTGAAAACCACCTTCTGCCCTCTCTTCCTTCGTGGAGGCGACGTTCTCTCCGTCGTCAGCGCGCATGCGACGCTTCTTAGAGAAGTCTGAAATGTCAAGCACGAGGCTACGAGGCAATTTGCTGCTCTCGCCCGACGTAGCAGACACGACAACAGTTGTTGGTCTAGCGACCAGTGCGACTGAAGCGAGCAGGATGATGCGGTATGGGGACATGGTTGTTGGATGGGAATTCGTTGTGGTCGTGGGCAGCTCAATTTCAAACTGACTGCAGGTCGTTGAGGTCAAACGAAGCCAACGGTGGTCCTCAAGCGCGTCGTGCGTTCGCATCATTCACAAGCACACAACGATATAGGCCAGAATCGTTTGGACGGATGAACCCGGATACCGCATTGCACTTCGTACTTGAACTTCCTCGAAGGAATTGAATGTCACATTGAAGCTTTTGTTGTGTGTTTGACAAGCCAACGCCTTTTGTATAAGGAAGTGTGCAAATGGTCGCATGCTCGCGCTCGCGAGACGACGATGTGTGCATGATCATGAGGCTCTGTTGATTGCTTCCAGATCAAAACGAGATTCGATCGTGCTTCAAGTTTCGGGGACATGTCAGGCATGACGGAAGCCAGCGCTCGAGCGGATATGTGGTTACGCGTCTAGTCTTTACGGTCACATCAACTTTTACTTGCATCTGCAAAACCGCATGTCCATCATCTTGACGTCCAGAAACCTCACTTCGAATATGCAGAGCTCAACCAGACCTGGCTACGCTTCGACGGCTGCATAGACGTTCACTTGCAGCTTTGATACCCTATGTTCACCATCCGATTTATATCTGCGATAAGGGCTGCGCCTTGTGTCACACCGCACTTTATTATGCAACTAGTACTTCCGTGTGACGACTCGCGTCGAATTCTTGATCAACCTGCTTTGCAGATTGTCATCGACTTTGACGCATGTCGTTAGTCGAAATGAACGAGATAGATGGCACCATCGAGGATAGTGTTAGTCGGTCAATCGCTCGTCATACGGATGAATAATTGTCACGCCGCAATTCAGACATCGTTCTCATGTACTGGCCGGCTTTTGTGAGTGCGAAGGCTGTTAACCCGTCTTTGTTGAATCGCTTGCTGTCGTCTATACTTTGTATGCAATGATTTCAGCTATTGGTGCTGCACAACAAGAGTTGCAAGCTAAAGCTCGATATGTCAACCCATGTCTTGCAGTATTCGTCCTGTTAAGAGCACATCCAAAACGGCCACTCGACCACTTACTACAAGATTACCCAGAATAAACAAGTGTATCGAAAGCGATTCGACTTGATGACACTGACGAGCTGACGAGCCGAAAGAGGCGGATCGTATGGACTGGCTCGACTTCACCAGCCTCCTTTCTCGTCTCGAAATTTGACTATCGACAAGTGGACAACGACGTATTGCAAAGCCACGAACGCCAATATCGGATATGTGTCTCACCTCATAAAGATGATTGGGATACGTGTGAAAATCGTCGAACCTTATTCGACGGTCGGTGTAACGGGGCACCCTGAAGCTTGTACTGGTTACAGTACAAGCTACTTATTCTGACGACAGAATAAGGCGGTGCCTCGGAACTTCACGTACACTGGTACGTGCAGGGGAAGACGGTAAGAAGAAGCGAGTACTTGGTTAAAGTAAAAAGTAGAACTGTATTTATCATAGTTAATGTCTGTTAATAAATCACTATTTATCCTCATCTAACTATGTCTGAATACAAATGTGCATATCAACTATCTGCTCACCACTCATTGCGTGCGTCTGTCGTGGCGCGTCTTCGTTGGTCGATACAATGGCCTATATCAACCAATTAGGAACTACTCGTAAGTGCTACAGAATATTGTCCTCATGACAATATTCTGAGAATACAACTCTTATAGTTATATTCTATTAACAATTTCTTATAAATTGTTATGTAACGGTTCACCCCGTTACATCACCCCCCCCCTTAACCATCAGTCACTTCAGTGACTGATTGACTGAATGGATACTCGTCCCAAATCATTTGGGACAGGGTTTGCACTTGTTGGTCCTAGTCCACTTCCCAACATTTCATCGCATGGTTAACAAGCCCATGCGATGCGCGAGCAAGGCCGCCGAGAGCGCGTCCGCACGTCTCTGTGCGGACGCCGAAGCAGAAACCGCAGCAACTGATGTCTCATCGGTTGCTGAAGCGACTCAGCCTCTGTCACTTGGTGATGCAGGCGCTGGTCATGAAGACACTCATGTCTTCACAGAGTATGAGCTCGGAGTCTCATACTCTCCTGATACGGAAGACGGATCCGTATCGACGGCGATCGAATCCAAGCGCCTGCCAAGCGTGGTATGGATGATGCTATGCGTCGTAGCATCTTTGGTTCATCTAATGAATCAGATGAAACATCGCCAAAGCGAAGGCGCTCGAGGTCGCGAGACTCGGGCGCTAACAGTGGTGTCGGTTCTCCTATGAACACCACTTCGCAACGAGGTGCCAGTCCTTCTGTTGGCACGTCGCAGGAAGAGCGGGACCGCAGTGTATTGCGTCTCGCTCCTGAGAAGAAGGCATGGATGCCTTTTAAATCCGTCATGGATCACTTGTCGGCGACGACGAGTGATCGTTATCGAACACGGTTGTTCGATTCGTCAAGGATCCATCACCTTGACCCCAGCGCGAAAAACTATCGCGTTGAGAATGAATTCTTCATCGATGCTTTCTTTAGACATCGATGGTACAGTGGGAATCACAAGCGTAATGGTCCCTCACTACTTCAAGCGTGGAACGCCTACATCCATAACCTTGAGGATGTAGGTCGTGAAGCTTGGAACGACAAACTTATCAAAGCTCGTGATAAGTTTGAAAAGCGAAACCCGACAGGTGCACGCTACAAGCTGCATCGTCTGTCAAGGGAGAAAGGATTACCCTGCCTCTCTTGGGGAGACTCGTGCCCTTGTTGTGTAACAACTCTGCGCGCGCACCTAAGGAGGCTTACCTCCCTAATAGCCCGTGGTGGCGCGTACATATATCTACTGAGATGTACGAAGGGATTGACAACCTGAAATCCCTTTACGACCGTGCCGGGAAGACTTTCTCCGGCGGTCCTTCTGCGGCACAGGATGTGCCGCGTCGTACTGCTCAACCAGACCCAGTACGTCAACCATCAGTTGGGAGCGGGGCTCCCAAGAATCCCAGGACGGGGGATAGCCGCGCCACCGGACGAGATAACTCGTCCGACGTCCGTTCACTTCGCGGTGGTTCAACAGCTGCTCAACTAGATAGCGCTGGCCACCGCGAGAGTCCTCTAATGGAGGTGGAGGAGGAGGGAAGACGTTCTCTACACGATCGTGGGGATCCGTGTGTTCCCGAGAGCTTCTTTGATCGTGTAACGCAAGGGTTACGCGGCAATCTCGAACAAGAGCGGGACAGGCGTCTCCAAATGGCGGACACTGTCTCGAAGCATCGAGCTGAGTTTGCCTTTGCTCAGCTTGAGAACAAGAGAGCTCTGACATCTCTTCGTGACGAGCTAAGGGTAGCTCGTGGGATTGTTGATCGGTCTCGGGATGAGATAACTGCTCTTCAGACCCTTGTCGATGCCCATCATCGGGAGCAAAAGGCTCTCTGCGAGATGCTTGAGCGCAAGGGCGTTCTTCATCGGAAGAAGCAGCGTACTGATGGTACGGCTTAAGCCGACCAACGTAAAACGTGGGATGCGTTCGCATCTTACGTGGCAACTCGATCGTGTATGCATTGCCTAGGCGGTGCAATACACGAAATGGGCCGATGTGCTTGGGTAGTAGTTTACTAAAACCCAAGTTAGTCACTACATGCTTTGGTAGATTAATCGTAGACAGTAGGACTAAGTCACCTTCACTAAATAAAAGAGTGTTTGCCCTTCCATTCTTGTCAGCGTTTTGCTTTTGCTTATCCACCGCTTCGGCGATGGAGTCTTGCACAAAGCGGACTACCGTTTCACGAGCCAGTATGAACTCATCTGATGACTCGTTAGCTTCAGTACGCTGTGATTGCACTGCAGCAACATCAGCCTTTTCTGCAGTGAGAGCTTCCTCATTCTCACTGGCATCATCTTCTTCGATATCGGCATCAAACGCAATGACCTCTTCGTCAGAGCGTGATGAGCGTGAACCAAATCGGTTTTTGCTCGCGCGAGTCCCCCCCCTTAAACCAGAGTTACACTCTAGTAAGGTGGGTACACGCGGATGGCGCAAGCCATTCACGTAAAACGGTGTATGTGTCGTGGACGCATGCACCGAGTTGTTAATGGCAAACTCTGCCATTGGCAAAAACTAACTCCAACTCTTTGAAAGAAGTGTACGTATCCTCGAAGTATCTCTTCAACGACACGATTGGCACGTTCCGTCTGACCATCTGACTCTGGATGATCAGATGTCGACATCTTCAAGCGCGTTCCGAGTGATTTGAACACGGAACGCCAGAAATCAGCAGTGAATCGTGGATCTCTGTCTGATACGAGTTCACGGGGCAACCCATTAAGTCGGAAGATGGTGTCAATAAAGACACAAGCACAGCCACTTGCCGTGATTGTCTCTGGTACAGCCACAAGGTGTACCATTTTGCTGAATCTGTCAACAAATACGAGAATACCCGTATTCCCGCGTACGTCTTTGGGTAACCCGAAGACGAAATCCATTGAGATGGATTCCCAGCACTCAGCAGGAACCGGTAGAGGCTGTAAAGGTGCACGCAGTGAAGGACTTGACTTCACTCGCTGGCAGACTTCGCATGCGCGAACATACTTTCGCACAAACTGATACTGGCGGGGCCAGTAAAAGTCTCGACTCACCGTGAGATATTTTTTCTCCCGGCCACGATGTCCTCCAATAGGAGCATCGTGATACTCGAACATGATCCGCAAACGCAGATCAGTATCATCTGGAATGACAACACGTGGTGTGTCACCAGAAACGGCTGTATAATACAGTAAACCGTTGCGAGTAGTGTATCGATCTGATGCAGATCGATACGCAGAAGATAATCGTTTCAACGATTCTCGAGATGGCTGGGAGAGATGTGTCAACAACTTCACAATCTCACCATCTTGGGCGTATGCCCGCCTCACATCATCATACAACGTTGTAGATGGGACTGAGGACGTCATAACCGCAACAGTGACTGTCTCACTGTTGGGTTTCGCGACTGTTTCAAAGTCGGGACGACGTGAGAGTGCATCAGCGACGACATTAAGTCGTCCTGGTTTGTACTCGACCGTAAAGTTGTATTCTGCAAAGAATGACAACCACCGCGCCATTCGTTGTGAAAGGTGCGGGCTGTTCACTACCGTGGTAATGACGCATGGTCAGTGTAAACAATGAAGGGTCTATCTCCTAATAGATAGACTCTGAACTTCGCGAGTGCACACTTCATGGCAAGGAGTTCTTTGTCATGCACTGGATAGTTCCGCTCATCTGGTTGCAGCTGACGCGACTGATAGCAGACGACACGTGCAACGCCTTCAAGATCGTACTGCATCAATGCACAGCCGATTGCGAAATCGCTGGCATCACAGACCACATGAAATGGCCTGTCTTGATCGGCTATTGCTAGGACTGGGGATTGTATCAAGCTCTGCTTGATACCATCAAAGGAGGGCTGATATTCAGCGTTCCATAACCACCTCTCGTTCTTTTTCAACAAACGAGAGAGGTGCACAGTCATCTCGGCGTAATTGCGTGAATACTTGTGCAAATAAGCCGCTAGCCCAAGGAATTTTCGAAGACCTTTGACATCAACCGGCACAGGCCAGTCGGTGATCGCCTTGATCTTTTCGAGATCAGGACGTACACCGTTCTTACCAACGATGCACCCAAGAAGTGGTATTTCGCTTACTGCAAATATACACTTCTTGAGGTTTGCATACAATTGATGCTTTCGCATGATTGTAAGAACCTGTCGGACGTGGTACCTGTGAACCTCAACGTCCGACTTTCCATCCATAGCTCGACTATGGATGAATACGTCATCGAAATAACTCGGCGCGAATTCTCGTACTGGTCTCAACAGATGTGATACACATCTGTTGAACGTGACAGGGGCATTACTAAGCCCTTGTGGCATTACTAGCCATTCCCAGAGCATGCCGCTAGGCGTGCTAACTGCGGTATAGGGTATATCCCATTCCCGCATAAGGATTTGATAGAAGCCATCCATCAAATCCATGGGCGAAAAGATGGTACTCTTTGACATACCATCAATGATTACGTCCTTCCTTGGTATCAACGTCTGAGCCGGTAACGTTGCAGCATTCAACTTGTTAAATGCATGCGCTATCCGCCACCCTCCTGTTGCTTTTCGCACACAGAAGGTCGGAGAGCTATGTGGGGGAGTTGATTCCCTCACATGGCCCGCAGCTAAACGATCGGCAAAGAACTTGTCGATCGCAAGTACTTGTTCACGAGGCAGTGGCCACTGCTTCATGACACAGTACTTCGAGCCTGGTTTAAGCTCGACCTCGTGTCGAATACCTTTATCCTTCGGTAATTCGCACGGAACAGTTTCAGGGAATACATCCTTGAATTCAACCAAATCTTCATAGAGAGGATTTGTCTTAAGCGATTCCCACGATTGGGAGTCATATCGCTCAACTCGTGTCTTTTCATCGAGGACACTCTCGTCCATAGATGAACTACTGAGATCTCTCTTGTTCTCAGTAAACACTGATGCTGACCTTATGTCGGCTACACACTCGTCGTCAGCAACGAGTACGCGGATCTGCTTGACTTTACCACTACGCAGATCACGCAAGAACCTTTTATGTTCGAGCGTTGGCAACTGAGTGATCTCCGAAGTCAACTTCGGAGTCGCAATCATATCGAGTAAGCGCCTACGCTTGATCTGTTATTGACTAGGAAATTCAATGTCTCGAACATTTCCTAGGGACTTATTCTCTCAGGCCTCGAAAGAATTATTCCTTCGGCTTCCCGAGGACTTATTCCCGCGGGTTTTGGGGAACTTATTTCCGCCGTATTTGTAATATTGGGACTTATTCCCTTTACTTCCTCTAGCTGTGGTTGCGCAACCACAGCGAGATCCTCTACGAAAGACCCTCTAGTCGATCCAGGATTATCGTTTCGCTTAACCTGAGCGATCGATCGTTTATCTTCTAGATGTTCCCCGCTAGGGATACATCTCTGTCCCGGTCCACTCGACTTATTCGAGTGGTGGACCTTCGGCGCAACCTTTGTTTCCTCACAGCCGCCGGAACTTTGCTCCGAAGTGTAACCGTTTGTTTTTTACACTAAAGTTTCTTGCAGTCGTACTAACGACCTTACCACAAGTGAGTCCATCGCACTCACTCGTAGTACACGCTTGTGGACGCTCCAAAACGTTCATCAGATGGCCATCTGATGAACAAGCGGCAGGCATCGTTACTGTTCGATGTTGCCAGTTTACTCGTGTTTCGTACCTTCTGAGCCACGGTATTCCAAGGATGACATCAAATTTGTCATCCAAATCCAATGCGATAAAGTCATCGTCATATCGGGTATCTTCTAGCGTATAGTGGATCTTCACTATACGCTTCATGATGGTTACGGATGCGACTGTCGCAAGACGTACCGTCATTCTCGTAGGAGGTGTGTCACATTCACTGAACTTAAATTGAACATCTTCTAGCGATTGGCGTTGCACAAAATTGTTAGACGCCCCACAATCGACTAGAGCTCGAAGGGACAACTTATTTGTCACTTCGAGTTTCAAGGTAATGAGTGAGATCTCATTACCTGGAGCAGCAACGCACAACGTTTGTGTGTTGGGAGCAACCTTCATCAAGAGGGCTACAAATTCTCTTGACGTTGCTGGACCAGTAGGGTGCTCCGCACCTACTGATCCTGTCCGTTCTTTGACGGTCCATCCCGTTGTTGCGTCTTTGCACCAACAGCGGACCCTCGTCCCTGCCCCTTTCTCATGGGTAGACGGTCACTACGCCCAGTGTTGCGAGACACTGGACGAGGGGCACTACACTCATAAGCGTAGTGTCCTGTCTTCTGACATCTGTTGCATTTCTGCAACTTCTTGTAGTCTGTAGAGCGAGCCTTCTCGCTCTCTACATAACAGAGTTCCATCGGCTCTGGACCTCCGTTGTCGTATCGTCTCGGTTGACGATATGATGTCGAGCTGGCGCGAGCCTGTCTCAGACTGAAGTCTTCCTGCTCCGCAATGGAAATTGCTTGTTCTAGTGAATCTAGTTCAAGTCGGAACATGTGAGTCTTGACGGGACCATCCGCAAGACCCTGCATGAACACCGAAACCAACGTGTGTTCATCAACCGGGTTGGAACTTATACAACTCGTGAGATGTCGTATGTGTTGCGCGTAAGCGTGCACATCACGCTTACCCTGCTTGAGCTTCGAGAGTTCGGTTCGAGCTCTGAACTCAGCTCTAGGCGGTTCAAACGTTTGTCTGAGCCGCGACTTGAAGACTTCCAACGACCCAAACGCATATGGGTCGTGCAACTTGAGCCCCAGTGCCCAAGTCTTGGCACGTCATGCCAGATTTGACTGGGCAAATGCAACTTGCATATCCCCATCGTCGATGCGACGCGCCCTTATGGCGTCATCCAATTCGACGAACCATCTCAAGAGGGAGTCCTCTTCGACTCCCCTATACTTAGAGATGTCAATCTTCAAAGTCTCGGGTCGACGCGAGTGCATCGACCCACCAGCAGCAGCCTGCTGCTGTCTCAACAGTTCAAACTGTTGAACACCCTGTTCTCTCAACAACTCTGCTTGTTGAGAACCTTGTTGGTGAAGCAAGGCTACTTTCTCGCGTTCAGCGTCAAGTTCATTTTGAATGGACTTGGCGATAGTAGCATGTTGGGCATCTCTATTGAGAGCCTCTAGCATGACGCTAACAGCATGGATGCCCATGGTTGAGCCAATCCGTTCAACCGCATCCCATTCGACATCGCTCAAATGGGAGTAGCCGTCACGCGTAGCGTGAAAGGTTTGGTCACCTTCATCATCCAACATATTCATGTTAGATGTGAACGTGGTCCTTGGACGGACTACGAAGTGCTACCAGATGTAACGGGGCACCCTGAAGCTTGTACCGGCTACAGTACAAGCTACTTATTCTGATGACAGAATAAGGCGGTACCTCGGAACTTCACGTACACTGGTACGTGCAGGGGAAGACGGTAAGAAGAAGCGAGTACTTGGTTAAAGTAAAAAGTAGAACTGTATTTAGTATAGTTAATGTCTGCAATAAATCACTATTTATCTTCATCTAACTATGTCTAAATACAAATGTGTAAATCAATTATCTGCTCACCACTCATTGCGTGCGTCTGTCGTGGCGCGTCTTCGTTGGTTGATATAATGGCCTTTATCAACCAATTAGGAACTACTCGTAAGTGCTACAGAATATTTGTCCTTATGACAATATTCTGAGAATATAACTCTTATAGTTATATTCTATTAACAATTTCTTATAAATTGTTATGTAACGATTCACCCCGTTACAAGAAGGGTTATGAGGGAGAGGTGAGCTCGCCAAATCCGCATGTGACGAGTAGCCACTTATCTACGCTTAATTCCGAAAAGTATCACATTTGGATGTGGTGTTACCGCGTGGGGGAGGAGGACGAGTTGCATCATTTGATGTGGTTGTACTAATCAGCTAGCGTTAAATTGGAATGAGTGACTAAAAGTGGCGCTTTTGGCTCAACGTTTTTCTAATACACTGTGAAGGAACGATTGATTGAACAACATTTTGAAGGCACTGCAGATTGCGGCGTCACAACCACGGTAGAAGTAGCAGAATACGATGACGTTGTGACAAGCATTCTTTGCTAGCATGATGTAATAAGAATGCGCCATCCGTCAGACGACAAAGTCTTTCCATAGTGCAAAACCTGCTATTGTCAGGTCGATGGGACTCGATACCTGATACACCCGGTCGATCTACATCTTCTTCCAAGAGCATTATGTAAGGCATTGTAGATTGGCAAGCTTCCGTTTGCAGATGCATATTTGCCTTATGCTTGGCTGAATGCAGCTTGTTGGTATTCGCTCTATGTACGTGTTTGCCTTCACCATCGTCATTCAAGTGAGCCAAGAAGTCAGGTACTTTTTGCTGATGAAAGTAAGCGCCATTTGACTTCCGCTTGCTCGCCGCTGAAGAATACTGTAACGTTTGGTCGTTGCACTGCTATCATCTTTTTCCGTACATCATACAAAAAGATGAGATGAAGCGTATACGTAAAAAAAAATGGCACAGAGATGCGCCTTAGCACAGCGACTTATCCTTCACATCGCTTGGACATTGGCTGCCAGGTACCGATTAAGATGAAAATATTTGCTTCAACTTTTGCTGCTAGACGCTCTATTTTTAACGAGCAGCTATGACTTTATAGGAATAGAAATGTAGCGCATTCGCGAGATTCCAAAACATTGTAATTGCCATACAGATTTTTACCAAGTCGCACGCACGACACACATACCGCAATTCGTTTCGCATAACTTTAATGCGTCATGCCAGTGGCTCGAGCATTGCACATGTAATGAAGTTCACTGCTCAAATAATTGCGTCGGATCGAATTTAGACCGCAGCGAGTAGTCACGTTGTTAGTTCGAGTCAACTCTATCAGCGGCCAGTTAACAGTTAACAGAGTCACGTACTACGTTAATTCCCGTGAATAAGCGACAATCGAATCTATTCAACGTACCTCTGCTCTAACACCTCCTGTAACGGAGCACCCTGAAGCTTGTACTGATGACAGTACAAGCTACTTATTCTGACGACAGAATAAGGCGGTGCCTCGGAACTTCACGTACACTGGTACGTGCAGAGAAAGACGGTAAGAAGAAGCGAGTACTTGGTTAAAGTAAAAAGTAGAACTGTATTTATAATAGTTCATGCTTGTTAATAAATCACCTGTTTATCCTCATCTAACCATGTCTGAATACAAATGTGCATATCAACTATCTGCTCACCACTCATTGCGTGCGTCTGTCGTGGCGCGTCTTTGTTGGTTGATACAATGGCCTATATCAACCAATTAGGAACTACTCGTAAGTGCTACAGAATATTGTCCTTATGACAATATTCTGAGAATACAACTCTTATAGTTATATTCTATTAACAATATCTTATAAATTGTTGTGTAACGATTCACCCCGTTAGAGTCGGGGCTTTTTAAGGACTGTCAGAACACCGTTAAAGCAAGATTGGCGTTACAATGTCTTACTAGCCTTCGCTTTGATTCTCGGCGAGATCACCATGCACCTAAACGGCTGTCAGTTATTTTATGCATTCTGTATGGTCTTGACTTGGCTTGTTTTACATCACAAATGTGAGAGCATTTATTGCCAGCGTAAATGTCGATCGGTTGGTCATCACACGATGGACCGATTTACTGCTCACCTCATTGGCGAGATCAGCTATACGGGGATGCGAATATCCGTTTGAACGTAGTCGTAAACATTGCCTCAACTTCTGGCTACATCACTTCAGAAACGCTTGCTTGAAAACCGTATTGTCAGCCCTGTAGTCGATCACGACTTATGAAGGTGATGTGCTTGTTGTGAAAAGGACAACTTGCATGGACAGTGGTCTCCGAACCATCTGGATTGAATTGATCAGTTTATGAGGGGATTTATATATTCATTTGAGCAGTAGTTTTAACTCTTGATACTGCTTTCCATTTTGCAGCACAGAGAAGTGGTTGAGCTTTCGAAACTGACTATGAGCACAAGTACGTTGGCTCCCGATGACATCCTCACGAGCGACAACTACTTTATGATGTAATTTATGCACGCACGACCCTTGAGCGCTAGGATCTCTTGGATCACGTGATGATCAAGCCAGAGCCGGCAATGCTGTGGGACAATCCCGAATGGAAAGTCGCTGATATGAAGGCTCTGGCCGTGCTAATAAAGCTGCTCTCTCCAACATACCAGTGTATGATTCGAGAGTGTGAGTCTGCAATTGATGCTTGGGAGGTTTTGAAGATGTTCTTTGCGAAGAAGAATCTTCACGACCGAGTGCAACCTCGGAAGGAACTACATGAGTTCGTGATGGATACTGGTGCAAGTCTCATGGATCATCTACTGAAGTTTGATGATCTATGCCTAAAGCTCAGGGCTGCCGGTGACAGCATGGACGATGATGAAAAATTGGTTTTACTTTTGGAATTTTGTCATTCGAATATGATGATATGGTGCGCATTATTGAGGCACACAGCAACGTGACGCTGCTGGACGAGAAAGAGATGCTCCTCCGGGAGTATGATACTCTTCAGAAGCGAGACAAGAAGGAAACCGCTTTCAAGGCGCATGCTCAGTGTAATGTACCTAGACGCTTTCAAGGAAACCGAGGACACCGTGGACAAACGGAAAGTAGCGATCGAAACAAAATTTCTGGAATAGGCAAGGCTAGTACAAGTTTTCAAGGCAAGTGCTTTGGATGTGGAATGCACGGACACGAACAATTGCAGTGTCATAACGTGAAGCCAACAAGACCTGGTGATGAGTTTTCTCCGGCATCAAGTAACCACTCAATTTCGAGTTCGACTTGGTTGCTGGATAGTGGGGCAAGTCGTCGTATGACTGATGGCAAACGTTAATTTGTGGAGTACGAAGATTTAATTACCCCAGTTTACATCACTGTGGCGAATGGACAGCAGTTGAAGGCACAAGTAACAGGCACTGTGCGATTTATACTCGAGAATGGTCGCACAGTCAAGCTTAAGGAGGTGTTACATGTGCCTGGGATAGACAAGAAACTTGTGTCGGTAGCATCAATGACGGTCCGAGGCGTGCTTGTTCAATTTAAGCGCGATCAAGCAGTTCTGATAAGCGACAACGTGACTGTAGCAGTGACTAAAAGAGTGGGGAAGCTGTTTGCGTGGATTTTGAACCATCACGTCACATCGAGGCACACAAGGCTGAGAGCAGTGTCGCGATAAATGACACTACTGAACCATGGCACGCTCGACTGGGCCATGTGTCTACCAGCAAGATCATGCAGGCAATGAAGTCTTGTGATGGTATCCCGAGAGTTGTTGCGCCTAATGGCGGTGTAAGTGATGAATGTGCACGCGAAGAAATAACAAACAGTCCGTTTAGTCATACTTTAGGACGTGAAGTTAAAAGAAGTCGACCGCTTGAAATTGTTCACACCTATCTTGTGGGGCCTATGGCCAAAGTCAAAGGGTGGCGCTCTTTACGTACTCACATTCATCGTACAGTCGATTTGTCTACGTGTACTTGATAGCAGCAAAGTCCAAAGTTTTTGAGCGCTTCAAGGCATTTCGTGCTATGGTGGAGACGCAAACGGATTGCAAGATTACAATGCATCCATAGTGACAATGGTGGGTAGTATACGAACAATCGCTTAAACGATTACTGTGCTGATCCGTATATTATCCACCAAACAAGCGTGTTGTAAACTCCTCAACAAAACGGCTTAGCATAGAGGATTAGTCGTACTCTTGTCGAGATGGCCCGCTCAATGATATATCACATGGAAGTTGATCGTTTCTGGTGGGGTGAGGCAATTATGGCAGATGCCTACACTATCAATCGAATTCCGAATACTGCGCGTCCTAACACTAGTCTATTTGGAACGATGTATGGTTCAAAGCCAGACCTGAGTCACCTTCGCGTACTTGGTTCCACTAGTTTTCCATGCGTCGCGGATTGCAAGCGAAGTAAGTGCGACAGCAAAGCAAACAAGTGTATTTTTCTTGGATATTCGACCACTTCAAAGGCGTACCCAGATTAGGATCTGGTGCGAGAACAATTGGTAATGACTAGGTATGTTACCTTAAACTAGCGATATCCTTTGCGGTACAAAGAAATTTTTGTTTTGATTGGACCTGTTGCTCAATGCAAATATTCATATGATGAACATGACGAAGTGAAGGCGGGCAAAACTAATTTGAACAATAACGAAGAGGCTGAGGACATGGACGTTGATGAAACCAATGACATAAATAATAGCTGGGAAGACATGGTTGTGGATGCGTCTGGAGCTCACAAACATTAAAAAAACGTAGATCTTGTTGCGATTGAGGGGGAGCGCACAGCTATACAAGTCACTGACACATCCGAATCAGTGACAGGACGCACAACAAACAAAACAATCGCTGGAACGATGATAATGGTTCACACATGGTCCAAGGTATATCTGATCAGTCGCGAGCTATTGTACTTTGTGAGAGTTCTCGACCCCCAGATGACCGACTCGAGATTTACTCAGGGTCGCATAAAAGGCCTTATAGTTCGTTCGCATCATCGCATCTTCTCACTAATAATGGATTGGACGATGTTGGTGTCAATTTACCGCTTCTGACTGATAGATCGTCGGTGAATATCGGACGAGTTGATCCGGACACTAAACGTCAATGTGTTGACGATTACGAGATTCTGCTTTCTGCCATGATGTATCGATGAATTTGCGGGAGGCGTTGCAGTCAACAGACACATGGCAATTCAAGCTGAAATAAAATCCCACGTAAAGAACCACACATGGTACATTGCTTACCGTTCTCCGTGTGTCATGGTCATTGGTCACAAGTGGGTATTTGGTTATAATGAAAAGGTGAGATCGTTCGCTGCAAAGTGCGTTTGGTTTCCCTCGGATATTTGCAAACGCATGGTTTTGACTACTTCGGCACATATTCAACTGTTGCATGCTCGAATACGATTTGCGTATTCCTGTCGGTTTGTTGCAGCATGAAGTATTTAATTCGGCAATTTGACGTGGAAACGTTTATAAATGGTGATCCGGTGGAAGTTTTCATGAGCCACCCTTTGGAGTTGAGAGATTGCACCTGGAATCGTGTGCAAATTTTGCGACGCAGCTTATGTGGATTAAAACAGGCGGCTGTGGTTTGGTACAAGAAAATTTGTTCTGTGTTTTCTACCATGGGTTTCGAACAGTGTCGAGCAGACACATGTCGTTTTGTTCAACACAATCATACGAGCATTGAGTCACCCACATGCATAGTCTTGTATGTGGAAGACCTCCTGATTGGGTGCAAGTCAGATGCAGAGGCTGACACAATTCACAAGGAATTATCAGAACATTTTACTGCTAAGTCACTTGGAGCTCCGGGATTGCTTTTGGGCATGGAAGTGAATTATTCACAAGAAAAAGGGGAATTAATGCTAAACAGGCTCAATTTATCACAAAACTGATCTCTAAGTTTGAGCAAAGTGAAGCATATGCAGTTTGCAACCCTATTTGCGCAGGCCAGGACTTTTATCTGAATGAGTCACACCCAGTGCTTAAAGATATCACTTCTATCGGAAATTGGTCGGTTCGCTGCTCTATATTGCAATTGCAATGCGACCAGACATTAGCTATGCGATGTCTGTATTATTACAGTGCTTGGACCAACCAAGACAGATGCACTGACGTGCGACTTTACGTGTTTTACGCTATCTCATGGGAACACAATCACACGTAGTTTCGTGTAAGAAATCGGACGACAACGAGATTATGCTTTGGGCATATTGTGACGCGAATTGGGGAAATGATACGAAGACTCGTCGATCTACGTCTAAGGTGTTGATTTTGCTTGGAGGTGCGGCTGTCGTGTACAAAAGCAAACGCCAAACTTCGGTCACCCTATCCTCTGCTGAAGCATAATACATGGCATTGGCACTAACTACGCAAGAAGTCATGTGGATTCATCATTCGCTTAAAGAGATGGGTGTCATGTAACGGGGTAGCCCGTTGCATGAAATTGACACCAAACGGTGTCAATTGGAATATTGTCTAGTATGACAATATTCTACCGATATTATTCGAGATGGGTAGTATCAAAGGAATATTATCCCCTTTTGAATAATATTCCTTCGCTGCTCCAAGATTGGTTGATATAAGACATACCAACCATAGATTGCCACCAATCGCTGCTAGACGCGCGCAATGAGTGATGAGCAGGTTGTCGTCATACGACGGCGTAGTTTAATATAGTTAGATAAAGATTATAGTTATATTGATAGCTTAACTATATTAAATACAGTTCTTTTGTTACCTTTACTTGATCGAGTCGTTCAAGTAGATAGCTTCCTCTGCACGTTCTAGTGTACGTGAAGTTTCGCGGCACCCAAACAAAGTGTGCCCCATTACACCTGGTAGCACTTTGTAGTCCGTTCAACGACTAGTTAGTGTTCGTCCAACGACTACTAAGTGTCCGTCCAGCGTAAACATGTTGGACGTAGAAGACGACAGCTTTCACGTCACACGTGAAGGATACTTCCATCTGAGTGACTCAGAATGGAAGGTAGTCGGCCGCATGAGTGTGCTCTTGGGCGAACCCGCCATCGGGGGTATGTTGGAGTCTCCAAGCAGAGAACAGCAACATGCTACTATCAACAAGTTCCTACAAGATAAACTTGCCGTCGAACGACAGAAGATAGCCTTGCTACAGGAGCAAGGCTCTCATCAGTCGATAGGCGGGACGAAGCACACGCGTCGAGCCGAAACCTTGAAGATAGATATCTCAAGGTACGAGGGAACAAGTAAAGATTTTCTTTCAAGACGGTTCGTCGTGCTAGACGACGCCATCAGGGCCCGTCACATAGGGGGTAACGAGATGCAAGTTACCTTCGCCCTATCAAATTTGACGGGACAAGCAAAGACTTGGGCCTTAGGGCTCAAGCTTCAAGACCCAAACTTGTTTGAGTCGTTGGGGATCATGAAGTCTCGACTCAAAAAGACGTCTGAGCCGCCACAAGCCGAGTTCAGATCACGCTCTGCACTCTTGAGGCTCAAGCAAGGTATGCGTGGCGTGCACGCTTACGCACAGCACCTGCGCTACCTTGCGAATAGCGTTACGGAAAGCCCTGTTGATGAGCACACGCTCATCAACGCGTTCATCTACGGCCTTGTGGATGGGCCGGTGAAGACCTGCATGTTCCAAGAGGACTTCCTTAAGCTGGAAAGGGCTATAGCGTTCGAGGAACAAGAAGACTTTAGGTTGGGACAGTCTCAGGCTAACTCGTCAAACTATCGTCCGACGAAACGACAGGAAAAGGAGGTCCCGAAACAATGGACCTCTGTTACATCGAGAGCGAGAGCTCTCGCTCTCTGAGTCATAAGCGAACGGCAAGATGCCATCGCTGTCAGAAGATTGGACACTACGCTCATGAGTGCAGTGTCCCGAGCACTGCAACACGTCCAAAGACAGGACGTGATGACCGATGTTGGCCAATGAAGGGTCCGAGGCGTGGGTCCGACCATGTCGCTAAGCCGCGACAGCAAGTCGGACCGTCATAAAACGATCAGGGTCAGTAAAGGCGGAGCACCCTGCTGATCCAGCAACGTCAAGAGAATTTGCAGGACTCTTGACGAATATTGCTCCCAACACACAGTATCTGTGTGTTAATGCCCCTAGTTATGAGGAGTCTCTCATTACTTTGAAGATCGAAGTGACAAGTGGAATGTCACTTGGCGCCCTAGTTGACTGTGAGGCATCGAACAGTTTTATTCGACGCCAGTCGCTAGAGGATAGTAGGCTCAGTTGTGTTGAGCGAGAGTTCCCTCCGACGAGGATGACGGTGTGCCTTGCTACAGGCGCATCCGTAACAGTGTACAAACGTGCAGCAGGAATCTACTACACGCTAGAAGGAAAGCAATGCGATGATGAATTCATCGTACTAGATTTGGATGACAAATTTGACGTCATCCTTGGTCTGCCATGGCTTAGAAAGTAATGGCCATGTGTTAGCTGGCAGCATCGATCCGTGAAGATACCTGCCGTTCAGTCATCGGATGGCCATCTGATGAACGTCTTGGAGCGTCCACAAGCGTGTGGATGTGCTACAAGTGAGTGCGATGGCCTCACTTGTGGTACGGTCGTAGCACGATTGCACAAGACCACCTTGTAGAAGGCCACTACACCGTAGAATCAGCTGTCGGCAGCTCTGTAGAGACACAGGCTGCGCAGAAGGTTCACCACTCGAAGAGATCGAGTGGATTCGAACAGGGATGCACAACAAGCAGGGTGCATCCAAGAAGAGATAAAAACGTTGTTCAGGAAGGACAACACGTTGAAGCAAAATCGCCTATCAGAGAGTCGATCGTAGAGCAAGCCCGCTCGACTGAAAGAGAGTCGATCGAAGAGGATGCGACCGTGATAGTTCACGTAGCGGAAGAGAATTCTGGCGTTTCTGAGAGCAATAACTCCCGAGACAGCTATGTTGAGGGTGTGGATCCCCAACCACCTGCGGATGTGTTTTCCCAGGAAATCACCGAGTCATTTTATGTCTTGGTGAATGACGCGTCAAGTATACGCGCTTATACAATTGATCTGGTTACACCTTTTAAGTCAGCTTCGGAGGTAATTAAGCTGCCAACACTAGAATCTAAAAGATTCTTGCGAGATCTGCGTCGTGACAAGATCAATCAGACCTGCGTACTCGTCACAGAGGACGAGTACGTCGCCGATATTCGGTCGGCACACGTGTTTGCTGAGAACGAACGGTTTCTCAGTAGCTCATCGATGGACAAGAGTGTCCTCAATGAGGAGACTCGGATTGAGCGATACACGTCTCAATCTTAGAGTCTTTGTAGACAAATCCTTTGTATAAGGATTTGGTTGAATTCAGGGATGTTTTCCCAGAATCCGAGCCATGCGAGTTGCCGAAGGACAAAGACACTCGGCATGAGATCAAACTGAAACCCGGTTCGAATTTCTGTGTCATGAAGCAGTGTCCACTGCCTCTTGAACAGGTCACAGCGACCGACAAATTATTTGCCGATCGTTTGTCGGCTGGTCGTGTGAGGGAAGTAACATTTACTCACACCTCTCCGACCTACTGTGTGCGAAAGGCCACAGGAGGGTGGCGGATAGTGCACGAGTTTAACAAATTGAACGCTGCAACGGTTCCGGCTCAGACGCCGATCCCAAGAAAGGACGTCACTATAGATGGTATGGAAAAGAGTACAAACTTTTCGTCCATGGATTTGATGGATGGATTCTACCAGATCCTCATGCGTGAACGGGATATCCCTTACACAGCAGTGATCACCCCCAGTGGTATGCTCTGGGAGTAGCTAGTTATGCCACAGGGGCTAAGTAACGCCCCCGCAACGTTGAACAGATATGTTACGAACCTGTTGCGATTGGTGCGCGATTTCGCACCGAGTTAATTGGACGATGTCTTCGTCCATAGCCGGGCTATGGATGGAAATACGGACGTGGAGGCTCATAGATTCCACGTCCGGAAGGTTCTTACTCTAATGCGAGATCATAAGTTGTTCGCGAACCTCAAGAATTGTATATTCGCAGCGAACGAACTACTACTTCTTGGCTGCATCGTGGGTAACAACGGTGTACACCCTGATCCGTAAGAGATTAAGGCGATTAGCGACTGGCCTGTGCCATTCGACGTCAAGGGACTTCGAAAGTTCCTTGGCTTGGCAGCGTATTTGCACAATTACTCGCGCAACTATGCCGAGATGACCGTACATCTCTCTTGTTTGTTACAGCAAAACGAGAGGTGATAATGGAGTGCTCAGTGTCAGCACTCTTTCGAAGGCATCAAGAAAAGCTTGATGCAATCGCCTGTGTTGGCAATTGAAGATCAGGATATACCATTTCATGTGATCTGTGACGCCAGCTATTTTGCAATCGGTTGCGCGTTAATGCAGTACGACTCAGACGGCGTTGAGCGCGTCGTCTGTTATCGATCGCGTCATCTGCAAGCAGCTGAGTGAAATTACCCGGCACATGACAATGAACTCCTTGCCATGAAATTTGCACTGGCCAAGTTTCGGGTATGTCTCTTAGGAGATCGGCCCTTCATCGTTTATACCGACCATGCGTCGTTACGCACGGCCGTAAACATTCCACACCTGTCGCAACGAATGGAGAGGTGGCTGACTTTCTCCGCGGAGTACAACTTCTCCATCGAGTATAAACCAGGACGACTGAATGTCGTCGCTGATGCTCTTTCGCGTCGGTCTTATTTCGAGCCGACTGCTCAACACAACAGTAGGGAGGATCCCACTGCCGCGACACTAACAGTGAGTGTTCCGTCGTCGAATCTGCTCGACGACGTGCGAAAAGCTTACACAGAAGATGAGCCTCTTCTGCGGTTAATGGATTACGTTTTTAATCCGTGTAATCAAGCTTAGAAAAGCTTGTCGTCTCAATGCCGCTCTTCAACCAAATAATATTCTGTTCGTAATGGACTGCTGTACTATACAGCAGTCAACGGCGACACCTCGGGTCGTCGTTCCGGCTCATAATGATTTGCGATTGTGCATCATGTATTAGTGTCACGATGCCCCAACAAGTGGGTATCGCGGTAGAGAAAATACTTACCTCATGGTGAGTCGTGACTTCTGGCCCCGCCAGTATGATTTTGTGCGGAAATACATTCGCGCTTGCGAAGTTTGTCCACTGATGAAGCCTAGTCCTTCATCCCGCGCACCCTTGCAGCCTCTTCCGATTCCAGCAGAGTGTTGGCAGTCCGTATCTATGGACTTCGTCTTCGGGTTTCCCAAAGACGTTCACAAGAATACTGGTATTCTTGTGGTTGTTGATCGGTTCAGCAAGATGGTACATCTTGTTGCTGTACCGGAGACAATTACAGATCAAGGCTGTCCGCGTGTATTCATCGATGCTATCCTCCGACTTCACGGGTTACCCCGTGAATTCGTGTCCGTTAGGGACCCCCGCTTCACAGCGGAGTTCTGGAAATCCGTGTTCCGTTCACTTGGAATACGTTTGACGATGTCAACTTCTGACCATCCCAAAACAGATGGACAAACGGAACGCGTCAATCGCATCCTCGAAGAGATACTTCGAGGGTATGTCCACTCGTTTACGAGCTGGAGTGAGTTCTGACCGATGGCGGAATTAGCCATCATCAACTCGGTGCATGCGTCGACAACGAATACACCGTTCTTTGTGAAGGTCATACGCCATCCACGTTTACCCGCCTTCTTAGAGTGTGACTCTAGTTTAAGGGGGGGTGGACTCGCTCAAACAAAACCGATCTGGTTCTTGCTCATCACCCGTCGACAATGGTGTCGACGTGATGGATGCCGATGTCGATGAGATCGATATCGATGATGACGATGACGACGATGCTGGCATATTCAGCATCGCCAATGACCGCCAAAGTGAGGACAAAGATACCCTCACTGGTGAAGACAACGTTCTTTCAGCAGTGCACACGAAGAGCACTGCTGTTGACAAGGATGAATTAGCAAAGGAATTTCTGCTGACTCGCGAAGCGGTTGTCCGCTTCGTTCAAGACTCTCTTGTAGATGCACTAGATAGAAAGGAAAGAAACGCAGACAAACATGGAAATGTTTTTTCATCCAATGAAGGAGATTTAGGTTCAATGTCTACAGTAAACCTACCGAAACACGCAGTGACAGACGTGGGCAGCAGTAAATTACTGTCCAGGTACATCGGTCCATTTCGTGTGTTGCGCCGAATGGGCGACGCATACACTATTGAACTGCCCCGTAAGATGCGCACGCATTCTACGTTTATCGTTGGTCGTCTCCGCCCGTACTATCAGTATGAGCCCGTTTCGAGATGCAAAGAACACCTCCGCGGTCGAGAGCCGAGACCACCATTGAGTGGTCCAGTTTCAACGAACCAGTCTGGTCGACTAGCGAAGCGACCTGTTCACGCAGCTCAGTGATGTCTCGACGAGCTGCAGCTAGCTCGTCAAAAAGAGAACGAGTCGAATGTTCGTTCTCAAGTTGCTCGAACGCAAAAGCAGCACGATCTTCCGAATGATCGTGCGAAAGGGAATTATAATTATCCTCACAAGATCATGGAGGTCATAACTCCGAGTCCGTTCTGAGCCAGGTCATCTTGCAAATGTTCCGTTACACGGTATAGCTCTTGAACATCAAGCCGATGCGACCCTCGAGCCGGATCAGGTGTTCCCACCGCCACCACTTCCTTTGGTGGACTTAAGCGGTGGTCAACGCTTCCTAGTGGAGCGCATTTTGAACCACCGCGATGTGAATGGCGTCCGGACGAGTTACCTCGTCCGCTAGCGTGGCTATCCACCGGCGTGGGACAGCTGGGAGCCTCGTACCCAGCGAATTGTTGGTGTCCTTGGTCTCGTCAAGCAGTACGACGAGACCCACCCGCTACGTTTGAAGAAGGGCCGTCGGAAAACGACCTCCCCGAACGCAAGTACAGGGATTGCAAAGTGTCGATCCCTTCGGCCATATCGGAGGAGATGCGCGCCCTCCAGTAGGGATCATTAGGGAGGTAGGCCTCCCTAGGAAAACGTTTCGGTTGGCCCGGAAACCTGGACATGAATCACCCCCCGAGAGACAGGGTAATCCTGCCTCTCTTGAAAGCCGGTGAAACTTGTATTGCGCCCCGACTGGGTTGCGCTTCTCAAACCTGATGCAAGCTGCATCAAGTTTGGCGAGCCAAGCCTCACGGCCAATACACTCGATGTTGTGGATGAGGGCATTCCATCCCTGCACCAAGGCTTTGCCATCTCGAACACGGCTACCATTGTACCACCGATGTTTGAAGAACGCATCGGTTAAAAACTCTTCCTCAGCACGGAAGGTTTCCGTGCTGGAATCAGGTGGGCAAATCTTCCTGCAATCGAACAACGGGATTCGATCCCATTCGGTAGTCGTGCCGGCCAACCGGTCCAACTCTCTAGATGGCGGCATCCATGGAGACTTCACTTGAGGAGCGTGGCGCAAGACATTTCGGTCCCTAGCCTCTTGATTGGTGCTAGCATGAGCAATGGCGCCAGTGTTACCCCGATCCTTTGACTTACTTTGCTCGTGGTGATGTAAAAGTGAATATCCACCATCTCCACGCGTCCTATCGTTGGATGGACTTTCGTGAGGCGGAGACTCATCGGAGTAATCACTCGGTCCGAAGATCTCGGTCATGACGCTGCCACGCTGACCGGAGCCAGTCAGCCTGGCTCTTGCAGTGTCCGCCCCGGGTGATCCCGAGGCGTGAGTATTCGCCTAAGAGTCGGATGCATCATCCGACTCGCCAGAATAGATGAGCTCTATCTCAGACTCGTCTTGATCACGATTCGAGGTACCCGCTGCAGACGCAAATGGGTGTACCTGTTGCACATGGTGAATCACCACGTGGAGGATTCACGACAACAGGCGACGAATCGCCTGCTGCTGAGGCGTGAGAGGCACTTTCCGCGGCCGCACTCATGCGTGCAGCCGCTCTTTTTGCTGCTGCAGTAGCAGCTTGCGTGGCTTTTAAAATCCTGTCCCAATAAATTTTAATTCAATCAACGGGTGATTGATGGTTAGGGGGGGTGTAACGGGGTAGCCCGTTACATGAAATTGACACCAAACGGTGTCAATTGGAATATTGTCTAGTATGACAATATTCTACCGATATTATTCGAGATGGGTAGTATCAAAGGAATATTATCCCCTTTGGATAATATTCCTTCGCTGCTCCAAGATTGGTTGATATAAGACATACCAACCATAGATTGCCACCAATCGCTGCTAGACGCGCGCAATGAGTGGTGAGCAGGTTGTCGTCATACGACGGCGTAGTTTAATATAGTTAGATAAAGATTATAGTTATATTGATAGCTTAACTACATTAAATACAGTTCTTTTGTTACCTTTACTTGATCGAGTCGTTCAAGTAGATAGCTTCCTCTGCACGTTCTAGTGTACGTGAAGTTTCGTGGCATCCAAACAAAGGGTGCCCCGTTACATGTCACGTGTAACACTGCGACTACAGTGCACATGGAAAACAAGTCAGCGATAAGTATCGCAACGAATCAAGGATACACACCAAGAGCTAAGCACTTCGACTTCAGGGTGCATTTTCTTCGAGATCACATTGAGCAAGGCAAGATTCAGCTGACAGTGTTCCGTCAGCTATGTAATTTGCTGATTGCCTGGTGAAGCCACTTGCTGCACGCGATGAAAATGGAATTTGCGAGAGTGCAGGTTGAAGGGGAGTGTACTAGATCACAACTTATGACGATGATGTGCGTGTAGTGAAAAGGGCGACTTGCATGGACAGTGGTCTCCGAACTATCTGGATTGAATTGATCAGTTTATGAGGGGAATTATATATTCATTTTAGCAGTAGTTTTAACTCTTGATACTGCTTTCCATTTTGTAGCACAGAGAAGTGGTTGAGCTTTCGTTTTAAGCCCCTTCTTTTGGCTCACAAAAATTACATCGTGATAGTAGCATCAAATTTATAAGGTCAACGATACACATACCGCAATTCGCTTTCGCTTAACATTAATGCGTCGTGCGAGTGGCTCGAGCATCGTACAGGTAATAAAGAGCTCACTGCTCAAATAATTGCGTCGGATCGAATTTAGACCGCAGCGAGTAGTCACGTTGTTAGTTCGAGTCAACTCTATCAGCGGCCAGTTAACAGTTAACAGAGTCACGTACTACGTTAATTCCCGTGAATAAGCGACAATCGAATCTATTCAACGTACCTCTGCTCTAACACCTCCTGTAACGGAGCACCCTGAAGCTTGTACTGATGACAGTACAAGCTACTTATTCTGACGACAGAATAAGGCGGTGCCTCGGAACTTCACGTACACTGGTACGTGCAGAGAAAGACGGTAAGAAGAAGCGAGTACTTGGTTAAAGTAAAAAGTAGAACTGTATTTATAATAGTTCATGCTTGTTAATAAATCACCTGTTTATCCTCATCTAACCATGTCTGAATACAAATGTGCATATCAACTATCTGCTCACCACTCATTGCGTGCGTCTGTCGTGGCGCGTCTTTGTTGGTTGATACAATGGCCTATATCAACCAATTAGGAACTACTCGTAAGTGCTGCAGAATATTTGTCCTTATGACAATATTCTGAGAATATAACTCTTACAGTTATATTCTATTAACAATTTCTTATAAATTGTTATGTAACGATTCACCCGGCTACATCACCCCCCCCTTAACCATCAGTCACTTTAGTGACTGATTGACTAAATGGATACTCGTCCCAAATCATTTGGGACAGGGTTTGCACTTGTTGGTCCGAGTCCACTTTCCAACATTTCATCGCATGGTAAACAAGCCCATGCGGTGCGCGAGCAAGGCCGCCGAGAGCGCGTCCGCACGTCTCTGTGCGGACGCCGAAGCAGAAACCGCAGCAACTGATGTCTCATCGGTTGCTGATGCGACTCAGCCTGTGTCACTTGGTGATGCAGGCGCTCGTCATGAAGACACTCATGTCTTCACAGAGTATGAGCTCGGAGTCTCATACTCTCCTGATACGGAAGACGGATCCGTATCGACGGCGATTGAATCCAAGCCGCCTGCCAAGCGTGGCATGGACGATGCTATGCGTCGTAGCATCTTTGGTTCATCTGACGAATCAGATGAGCCATCACCGAAGCGAAGGCGCTCGAGGTCGCAGGACTCGGGCGCTCACAGTGGTGTCGGTTCTCCTGTTGACACCACTTCGCAACGAGGTGCATGCACTTCTGTCGGCACGTCGCAAGAAGAGCGGGACCGCAGTGTGTTGCGTCTCGCTCCCGAGAAGAAAGCATGGATGCCTCCTAAATCTATCATGGATCACTTGTCGGCGACGACGAGTGATCGTTATCGAACACGGTTGTTCGATTCGTCAAGGATCCATCACCTTGACCCCAGTGCGAAAGACTATCGCACTGAGAACGATTTCTTCATCGATGCTTTCTTTAAACATCGATGGTACAGTGGGAATCACAAACGTGATGGTCCCTCACTGCTTCAAGCGTGGAACGCCTACATCCATAACCTTGAGGATGTAGGTCGTGACGTTTGGAACGACAAACTTATCAAAGCTCGTGATAAGTTTGAAAAGCGAACCCCGACAGGTGCACGCTACAAGCTGCATCGTCTGTCAAGGGATAAAGGATTACCCCACCTCTCTTGGGGAGACTCGTGCCCATGTTGTGTGAACAACTCTGCGCGCGCACCTAAGGAGGCTTACCTCCTTACTAGCCCGTGGTGGCGCGTACGTATCTCTACTGAGATGTACGAAGGGATTGACAACCTGAAATCCCTTTACGACCGTGCCGGGAAGACTTTCTCCGGTGGTTCTTCTGCGGCACAGGATGTGCCGCGTCGTACTGCTCAACCAAACCCAGTACGTCAACCATCAGTTGGGAGCGGGGCTCCCAAGAATCCCAGGACGGGGGATAGCCGCGCCACCGGACAAGGTAACTCGTCCGACGTCCGTTCACTTCGCGGTGGTTCAACAGCTGCTCAACTAGATAGCGCTGGCCACCGCGAGAGTCCTCCAAAGGAGGTAGAGGAGGAGGGAAAACGCTCTCGAAACTATCGTGGGGGAGCGTGTGTCTCCGAGAGCCTCTTTGATCGCGTAACTCTTGCGTTACGCGGCGATCTCAAGCATGAGCGGGACAGGCGTCTCCAACTGGCGGAAACTGTCTTGAAGAATTGAGCTGAGTTTGCCTTTGCTCAGCTTGAGAACGAGAGAGCTCTGACATCTCTGCGTGACGAGCTAAGGGTAGCTCGTGGGAATGTTGATCGGTCTCGGGATGATATAACTGCTCTTCAGACCCTTGTTAATATCCACCATCGGGAGCACAAGGCCCTCTGTGAGATGCTTGAGCGCAAGGGCGTTCTTCATCGGAAGAAGCAGCGTACTTATGGTACGGCTTAAGCCGACCAACGTAAAACGTGGGA